TTTTGAATGCTTACTGATTAAAACTCTATTCTTTTGCAAAAATTCATTTTTGGCAATAGGCCTCCAAAAGGAATGTATAAAAGGAAAGTGAATAGGTTTCTAAAAATGTCATCAAGCATTCAAAGCTTCAAGCCCCAATATGACCATAATGGAAAGAAGGCAAATGACAAACACTCATAATCCAAACTGTCTCCCTTTTAGGAGATTTTTCTTTTGAAACAATAATGTAATAGTAATTTAAATTCCTGAATTGGATCTGTAGGAATAGGTGTGAGAAGCAAGTTGGAAGGGAGTGAAGGGAAAAAAGGTTCTAAAAAGACCCTCCTAGATAATATTATCTTGAAGAAAAAAAATATTTCCAATAGAATATTTGAAATAATACTCTAGAAATGAATCTTTGGCTTTTAGGGGCTGCAACTCTTATATTTAGAGCTCTTAGTCACAAAATTACAAACATTCTGATTAATATAAATTGTATCTTTTATATAAGAGTTGATATGCATTCTCCTGCATTATGAGCACACTTGCATTTTGAATAAGATATACATCTTTAAACCTAATTTTAGGGTAAAATAAACTATATCCCTGTATTTTGACTCACAGATTCTTGATTTGACTAGCTTTAAGTACAGTGCTGTTTGATGACTAAAATATATCAGCACTTGGAAGTGTGATTTAGAAATTAATATCAAAATTGAAAAGTATAAAGCCTATGAATTGAAAAACATGGCTTATTAAATCTTTTCTTGCCACTTGACAAGGAAGATCCTATAGCTATCTTTTAAAATTCAAAAGTAAAAGAAATAACTTACTTGTCACTTGTTATTATATCAACCTCTGGTTTCCACCTATTTTATCTCAAATAGCTATGGTTGATTTTTACATTTAGTTTTTAATAAAGCTTAGTTATAATGCTGACATTAAAAACTTCTAGAATGATAACTGGAAGAAGGCAAGGTTTTATATATAACTATATATTATTCTCTGAAAAGTAGGCTGTTATTAGAAAGTACTGACAGTAGTTCTTTTCAGTATCTGTGATAAAAAATTTACAGTTATTTTAACCAAGGTGAAGCAAGACTTTATCTAACAGTGGAATTTAATTTAAAACAAAAAGGCATCTGGAAATAGTGAAAGCATATTCACTCCTTGAAAGTATACAAGACCTAACAAGCCTACTATGTTACAGACAAATCCTAAAATTATAGACTGCCATGGAAGAGGTACGAAACTAACTGTCCATGAGTAGATTGGCATGTGACCACAGAAAAGTGTGAACAAAATGGATTTTGCTACCTGTTTGGGCTGAGAAAATACTATGATTCATTATGAGTTTGCTTTTCTGGTCTAAATATTACAAAAGTTTAAATTAGAAAAATTATTTTCATTCCTTTCATTCTGTAACCTATCTCATTTTATTTTGGGTCATTTTTATGTGCTTGATTGTTTTTCAGCAGAGGCATTTTATCCCTGAGAATTGCAGTTGATATTGCTGATTCGGCTTGGTCAGCCAGTTACCAAGCCCCTGCCTCCTTCTAGATGAGCCCCTTAGTGTGGCCATAAAACAAACAAACAAACAAACAAAAAACAACAACAAAAAAACGAGGTCAAAAGAAACCATGTGCAATAAGGACTTTTTGTACATTTGGCATGCCTCTTGACTATTGGGCAAGCATTCTTAGTGCCCCAGGGCCCACGACATTTAGTGCTACCCCCATTCAGGTAATGGTATTCAACTTCTCCTACGCATTGGGTCCCTAATATTGTATAAGGGTGTAGGCTCAGCCCTGACTCATAGGGTAGATGATTTGTATCCTGTGAGTCACCAATACCACTTCCTGCTGCCACATTTGAGATTTCACTGAAACACAGTCTTTGAAAGATGAAAGTAGAGAGATAAATAAGTGAGCTTCAGATTTCCAAAAAACAATTTAGAAATTTGACAGAAATGGCCTCTAAAGAGATTTTGATTTTCATAGCAGTATCAAAGTAGAAGTTCCAACTGCCAATTTTGAGTTTACGGATTATTTACCTCATTTCACTTTGAGCAGAATTCCTTGTACCTTAGCTACCAATGTAAAGCTTGCCACCAGACCTGTTTTCTGAAATAATGACACTATCCAAAATCTTTAGTATCATAGCAAGTTATTTCCTTAGCAGGAACCCATGGCCAAGGATCAAAAACTCAAATATAATATTTGTAGTCGAATCTTAGAGACATGTTTATGTTCAAAAACACTAAAATCATGAGAAACTGAAAGATTAAGGAAATATATGGATATGACTTTAGCATCTATTCCTTTCCCGCTTGACTTTAAAATAGTGAGTGGTGATTCTTAAGGGTCATAGGGCAGTAGATATCAGAATCTTCCATCGTGGATATTTTCAATCTTTCCATCACTCCTACTTACTGCTCTACCCCCCTGTTTTAAAGCAGTAGAGTTATGCAGATGAACACATGATTTAGAACCAATTTTGCCATCTTATTGGCTACACATATCCATGATGGAACTGCAGTCTAATCAGTTTCATTTGAGAGATGCATTTACGATTATTTATAATTTCATCTGTAAAATACCCGGATGCTGGATTAATGTAGTGAGTCTCACAGAAACCATCCTGAGCAATGAACTATGTCCGAGGGAGAGTCACAGGTTAGGAGAGCCCAGTTTTTGTGGAGGCACGCCCTGCACTGAATATTCTCTAATTCTCAAAGACAAATATTTCACCTCTGGCCTGACCAACTGAAACAAATTTTCTAACAGTGGAAAAACTAACAATGACTAAAAAACCTTAAAAAAAGAAAAGGAAAAAAAAGGACTGAGAAACAAACCCCCCAGATGATTAGCTGGATTCTAAAATGGTTGCAGGTTGCAGTTGTAAGCACTAAGCAATTCCAAACAAGAAAAGCTAGTTTCTGATTTCTGCAAAAGATAAAAAAAATAAGCTTCAACTGTCCATTTACACAGACCTAGCTTGCCCCTTCCTAGAAAGAGAATTGATAATGTCTCCACCAAAGAGTTCCTCATTTTAAGTATGGAGCGATAGGAGTGTCAAGGATGTGAAAACGCACATCTAGGACTCCAGTTTGTGTTGAGTAAACTGTATGTTAAAGGGTTTAATTCTTCAGTCATGAAAGTACATGGTAGAAATACATTGAGAAATAGAACAAAATTGTCTTGGATGAGAATCTAGCTCATTCTCCATAGAAAGATACGTAGACAAAGTCATCTTTTTCTATCTCCATTCAACTGACAATGAAATCCTAACTTCAGCCATTCTTTGTCATTTAAGAAAGATTTTGTTTTCCCTATAAGAGTAATCAAAGCAGCATTTGTATTTTAGGAGAAATACAGAGTGGAGAGGAGATAATTCCAAACCTCTAGAAAAGTATTTTCAAATCATCGGAAGATTATGAGATGATTTCAAGGCACATTTCTAACTCTTCCGTGGTCACTAGATAATTGGTCTTGGACAAGTTATTTAACTGCACTGATGTTGTATGGGGCTAATAACTACTTCACAGGATTATTATGTGTCAAGTTTGGAAATTGTTATGCTGATGCATAATTGAGTTTTTAGTACCAAAGAATGTACAATTTGCTTAACAGATATATGCCTCCTCTGACTGAGAAAAAATAAAATCCTTTATGACAGATAAATCATCTTTTAAAACACCAGAGATTTATAATCTTGTTACAGACCAGTAGAGGGCACTACCCATGTACACTGCTAACACCAGAAGCTAGATGTTGAGTATGCAGCATTTAGGAGAGTCTCTGGTATGTTAGGCATTTTAGAAAATATCATTTCATTTAATTCTCCCCAAAACTCTATAAGGGAAGGAAAATAAATCACACAGTTCAAGTTTTCTTCCCTTTCTACTATACTTTGTTGCCTTCCTTTGAGGTTAAATATTCTGCTTCAATTACATTTACCCTCCTTTGTTCTGTGTGATATCCATTAAACTCTAGTATTATTGTCCGTTTCCAAATTCTGTAATGTGGCCCATTAACAAAATGCTATGCACCCTTAGGAAAGTTACTTATACCTTCCCCAAAGAGTCCCTGGGAAGATTAAATGAGATAACACGGTTACAGTGGATAGAACCATGCCTGCATGTTAGCTGCTGCCAATATTACTACTACCACTACCATTCTTATTTATATAACAATTACTCATAGACACTAACTAGAAAGAGTGGTTGAAGTACAAATACGTGACTCTTAAACAGAAGAGGCTAAACTCTTTTTAATAAATATCCATCCAATTAAAAACATTCTTCTTATGCTTTCTATGCAATTCAGAAACTACTTGAGTCATTCTGGTGCCTGTTTTGCAACATTTATCTTTTCAGTGGAGACACATGATGAAACACCTTGTTCAAACTCTTCCTGGGCTTACAGAAACTGCATTCTAGGCTCCGCGTGGTTCATTTAGCGTGTGTGGTTTTTCTCATGTTAGATAAAATGTATTCTGACTTAGATTACATTTACAATACAAAGAGTAATTTAGGCACTTAAATTATACAAGTACATCTTAAGCTGAGAGTCTTGTTTAGTTGTCATCATAAATAGAACCTGATTTTTATTTGAAACCTTCTCTTGTGATAGATTCTACATCGGAGCATTGCTCTGAACACATCCTGGAGTAAAACAGGTGGAAACCTTTAACTTTCTAATTGTTAAGCTTCTTAAAAAAATCAAACTTCAGAATCAGGTCTTGAAAAATTTTCTGTGAAATGTTTAAAGCAGGTTAAATCTGTCGCTAACTATGAATGCAATGCCAAAGCTTTTACCCTTGGACCGAAGAGCTGGATGTTCACCTATTTTCAATTTTATGCTTGTTTCCATGACTTATTTTTTTTTTTTTTATGGCTTCGATGGATCAACTACTTGAAATAATTAAAACAACTAAAAATATCTGCAGTTATACGGAAATCTGATTAAGGCTTCTTTCCTTGAAGCATTAATTACGTATTTGATTTTCTCCATAAATAGGTTTCCATCTTCTCCAAGCAGTTCTCAGTGCAACTGTGATTCCTTCATGTATCCCAGGAGAATCTGAAGATAACTGCACAGCTTTAGGTAAGACTAGCATTGTCAGTGTTGCATAAAAGGATTATACATTTTTAATAGAAATGTAAACACAAAGACTATCCATACATGATGGAAAAAAGGGGCGGGCTAGCTACCGTGTTAATGAAAGAATTTTTAATCCCCACTATGAACTCGTGATCCGGAAAACTTATATAAAGAAACACTTAGTGGGGAAGGACTGGGCATCTGGCTAGATGGAGAGATTTGATCTTAAAGACACAGGGAACAAGAAAATCAGATTCCTATGGCCATTTCCCAGAGCTTTGCTGTGAACCATTGTTAGAGGATGGATCCCAGGCAAAACAGGAAAATGTAACCTTTGTACACAGTAGATAATCAATGTATTTTTGTTGTTATTTTCATAAGAGAAACAAATGAAATCCTTTTTTCTTTCTAGTCACAGCATTCATTCAGAAACATTTATGCCAAACATGGTGCTTAGGTATAGGAATACAAAGATAAATAATGCACAGTCTTTTTTTCTCAAAAATTCCAGATGACCGTAGATGTGATTCAAGAGAGATCTGCTTTATATTTAGTCAAAGGTTATTGCGCCACTCGGTCAAGGGTTATCCTGAGCTACTGAGCAGTGTTATGCTGAGGAACCAGGATATTTTCGACATCTTCACCTTTTTTTTTAACTTCTTTCATCACTGGGCACTCTGGAGGTTTGGTCTGCCTTCCTCTTCCTTTTTTTGGTTATTTGAACAAGAGTATTGCAATCAAGATGCAATTTATTATTTCATAAGTATTCACATATTAGTAACTAAAACATTCTAAATTGAATTTTACATATACATTGCAACACTACTGCTAACAAGGTTCCTATTTTCAGTGTTGTATTCACCTAACTGGCATTTATAACTCAGGATTTGTCTAATGCATGCTCAGGTCTCAGTGTTAGAGATGTTGGAAGTCTTTGATTTCTTTGATGATAACCTAAAAAATTTGGGAATGCACATGAACACAAGGTTTGCTGGCTTAAAAGCCACTATAGAGTTAAGCACTCTTTAATTAATTTATAAATTTAGCTTACAATTCCATTTGGAATAATGAATTTCAGAATATTTTGAGATTCTGAAAAAAAATTAGATGAACTTTGGGTAATTGAATAACTATGGAGGATAATGATTTTTGTGTATGTTTCTTAAACTTACCTTTTTCTTAAACATTGCCCTTTGAGTAGTAAATCCTCAGTTTGTCTGATTTAGTTTGGACATTCTTCTGTGGGGGTCAGGTGTTGATTTATTGTCCAGGGAGTAGGACAACTAGAGAGACTTCTTATTCCTGAAAGTTCTCTTCAACTGACAGACACCTGACCTGCTTTGTTACGGTAGATTGGTGTTTATTATTATGAAGGGATGATTGATTAATGCTTCAAAGAAGGCAACAGAATATGTTCAATTTTCCATTTCCTTCACAGTTCAGACAGAAAACAACCCACGTGTGGCTCCAATGTTGATAACAAAGTGTAACTCTGACCATAATGGCTACTGTTTGCATGGACAGTGCATCTACCTGGTGGGCATGAGTAAAAATTACTGCAGGTAATATCTCTGAAACAACAAACAAACAAACAAACACGAGCTTTTTAAAACTTATATTTCTTTTTCTATTTCTCACTTTTGATGTTACTCTATTTCCATGGGCACAGTTTATATGTACTACAGTGGTCCCCAACCTTTTTGGCACCAGGGACTGGTGCTCCTATGAGAATCTCATGCCTGATGATCTGAGATGGAGCTGAGGCAGTGATGCTAGTGCTGAAGAGCAGCTGCAAATGCAGATGAAACTTCGCTCTCTGGCCTGCCACTCACCTCCTGCTGTGTGGCCCAATTCTTAACAGGCCACAGACTAGTACCAGTCCACAGCCCGGGGCTTGGAGAGCCCTGTACTATGAGCATGCAATTTGTATATACTATTAAAAACTTTAATAAATCCATTTTTTAAATTAGGGAATAGTAGTTATTAAATTATACAGATACTTAAGGGGTACAGATTGAGGAGGGCTTCAGATGCCTCCATCTCATACTTGCCACAAAAGCAGCTAAACTTTTTATCTTTTCACTGGACCTATATATCAGCCACTGTCTTAGGAACTGATTCTACCGATATAGACAAATAGCACCTCAAACCTACAAAACTTACGAAACACTATTCTAGATTGGCAGTCACCTGGTAGCTGAACCAGAATCATTTTCATACCACGATTCAGTTTAAAAGCTATGTAGAGCATTTTTTATCGACATTGGCCCAGTTCTAAGTCAGTCTTTGAATTCGCAAACTTTTGGAAAACCATGTTGATTTCTTGAGATTAGTCATTAATTCTAATTCTAATTATTTCTCAATTATTAGTTCTTAAACTAATTCACAAGCACAATTTCTTTTTAAAGTAATTGATCTTTCTCTTGCATTTTCCTTTAGGTGTGAAGTGGGTTATGCTGGAGTCCGATGTGAGCACTTCTTTTTGACTGTCCAACAACCCTTGAGCGAAGAATATGTGGCTTTGTCTGTGATTCTTATTGTCTTGTTTCTTCTCACAGTTGCCGGTTTCATTTACTATTTCTGCAGATGGTAAGCCAGTGTTTTTTTACATTCTGCTTTTATAAATTACTTTTATACAATACAGACTTACAAACTGGGTGAAACTATGGACAAAGTATTATTCAAAGAGATAAGATAGACTTTGCATTGATGATAACTGTAAAGAAGTTTTAGCTGTAGAACATCTAACCGAATTTGATTCAATTATTAACTCTGTTACTTATTACCTATGTGACCTTATACAAGTCAAACTTGGAGTTCTTTCCTCCATAAAATAGATAGAAATCCTTACCTTACATTAATTACAGAACTATTTTCAGTATGGAATATGATAATACATGTGAAAGTAAACCATAAGTAAACCATAAGCCATGATACCAGTTATACTTAACCATTTGTATTTAGTTTATTAGGTATTTCATAAAACGCAGCCTTGTAAATTAATAACATGAGAGACTTTGTATCTTAAAATTTAAGGCAGACTAGTAGAAACGAGTTTCCAGACAATAATAAAAGCTTATTTTTAAAAAATAGTTCATCAGTCTCCTAAAACAGCTACACTCCATCCTCATGTATAATACTATACTATTAGGGTTAGGACTATACATCGGAATAGTGTGAATTAGTTAATAACAGCTGCCTTTAAAATACCTGTATGAAATGCTTCTTATTTTAGAACTGATTCAAATTGTTCAGCGTAGATTTGAATGCATTTTATTTTACCTTATTTTTTATTATTATACTTTTTTTAGCTGAAAGTAGTGTACTTCTACATTTCAAGGTCTGAAAGTGTGCTACTTTTATAAAATTAAATTTATTTTGTCCATGTTTGAGTCTAAGTATTCGTCAAACAATGCCTTCCTAATTAGTTATGATCCCAGAACTGAACATGATTAAATCTGAAATACATGTGAAAGGTCTGACTACAATTGTTTTCTTTATAAAGGTAGAGAAAATGTGACCTAGAGAGGTAAATTGACATGCTCTTACTCATACAATTGACAAGTGGCAGAACTAAATCTAAACAAAGGCTTTTTAATTTTATTCTTCCATTAAGCATAGACGTTATGCAGTTTCCTCAAGACTACATGCCTCATTCCAAAATGGGTAGAAAATGAACTCAAAATATAAGGAAGATGGCTTAAATGAATGAATGAATGAAAATTCCAAATCACGCTAGATTTATGAATCCTAGCTGGGAGAACTTGGCCAGGCTATGTAACCTACTTGTACTTCACTTTCTTCTTCTGTAAGATGAAGATGATAACGGTAATGTGAGGACAAAATAAATAATCAGTGTATAGCACTTAGAGCATTGTCAGTCACCTACTTAGTGCCTGATAGATACTAGTGGTGATAGCATTATATCAATGTGGTAGGCAGAATGTAATAATGTAGTATGATAATCAAAATACTAGTTCCTTAGTAGGTAGGCAGGTAGGAAGAAAGGGAGGAAGGAAGGAGGGAAGGAAGGAAGGAAAAGAAAGGGATGGGGGTGAACTTTTCAATAATTATCACCAAGAGAAGATCTTGACTTCCATTTCTCTTGCCTTTCAAGAGGGGGAGAGAGAGAGGGGAGAGATGAGGGATCAGGAGGAGAGAGAGAGAGAAAGAGAGAAGGAGGGTGGGAGGGGAGGGGAAGAGAAGGGAAGGGAAGAAAGAGAAAGAACAAACAAACAAACAAACAAACAAACAAAGCTGAAACGTGATCACATGCTCGCTTAGAATTTTACAATTTTCATGATCATGTTAAAGCCTCTGAGAAGTCCTTTAACTCTGTTTCATCATTTCCTTCCCAAATTGTTTGACCACAGAAGACTCTCCTTTCTCTCTCTATTTTCTCCCTTGTCCGACCTAAACCTATTCACCTTTGTCATTTTGGAAACACTATGCTGATGCACCTTTTGAGTCCATGTATCTGTTCCTTTTGTTAATATACTACGTTCTTATTACTGTTAACTACAGTGCTAACAGTTTCATTTCTGAATATTTCTAGGTACAAAAATAAAAAAAGTAAAGAATCAAAGAAGGAATATGAAAGGGTGACCTCAGAGGATCTGGCGTTGCCACAAGTCTGAATGGTGACATCAAGCTTATGGGCCGCGATGCACAGCATGCCTGTTTATGTTAATATTCTTATTTTATTAATAATATTTATGTTGGGTCATGTGTTAAGTCGACAATAGTATATTTTTAATATACTTGAGAAAGTTTTTATTTTTGTTTTATTTTTGACAGACTATTTGTATAATGTACACAAACTGTTTAATATAGAAAGAAAAATTGATATTTTTGTAAGAAATTACTTCCTAAGTAATTTCCTGTGCTAAATGCTTTGTTGGAAGCTTCAAAGCTTACTTGCCTATTATACAATGCCCAGTACCCAGTACCCAGTTCATTGCTCAGTAAATATCAGCAAATGACAGATTTCTGTAAGCCTAAATACATAGTCAAATCAATTTAATATTTTTTACTCTTCGAATTAATGATAATTGGTTTAACTATATCATTGTTTGATGTATGAGTTGGCACCACTGTGTCATGTATTAAAACAGTGATACAATGGGAATTGGGAGAAGTAAATATAGATCACGTACTAAATACTACACATTTGAAACAAACTAAAATGGGAGAATTATGCTCCCTCTAGGCCTAACCTCAGCTGTAACTCTGTTTCTCTGCTTGGGGAGGAAGTGGACGATTCTTTATTCCACCCACAACTCCTATGGATAGTAGTGATCCATCTAACAGATACTCCTTAAGTAAAATGAATCGAGAACTTAATTTTATGCCATCTTTTATGCAAATAGTAGAAATTTGATACCTTCACAATGTTCCTTTTTTTGTACAACATTTATATGAAGTGACTGTTGCTCATGAGACAATAAAAAAAAATTACACATTTAAAGCAAAAATGTGTGCTTCTTTTAAAGAGTATTTTAGTAGGGACTTTGCTGAAGAAATTTTAAGATTAAATCTTCAATCTTATACTTAAAATAATGATTAGTTCAATTTGATACTAATCATTATTTTAAGTATAAGACAATAGTTCTATATATTGTCTAAAGATAGAAATATATTTAATTTTTCATACGAGTGTTTTAATTTAAAATAATTCAGTAAGTAGTTTCTTCTAGGATTTAAAATTATATATTTAAACTTATATCCTGACATAAGAAGTAGGGAAAAAAATAAAAATAAGTCATAGCATATTTTTCCAAATAAACAAATTCATTTGAAAGCTTTTAAAATTTAGAGATTTAACCACACTTTCCTATGGAGACTGAGGTGAAACCAGGGCCCTGTTTTCTCTCTTTCATTTTATTTTATTTTTGTTACATAAATTAACCCATTTATTATAGGCTAGCAATATTTCAAACTGTGGTGCTTCTACTGGTCTTTCAATTCTGATGGCAGACTTTACTGTGACAGCAGAAGTGGCGTTGTAGGTCCAGGCACCACAAGCTACTATTTTCATGCAGGAACCACAGTGCCAGATCCCCATAGCTCTTCTCTTCCTCTTGGTTTTGCCACAAAAGGAGCAAGTGTACTTGGAGTGCTGGCTCATTTCAATTTTCTTCACCATTTTCCTGAGGGGGGTGCCATAATGGGTCCCGTATTTATCATCGATACCGACCTTCTTGGTACGTTTAGCCATGTTGCAACCAACTAGGTCGGAACTCATAGAGGTGTCTTTTATTTTTTTGAAAGAGACTAACTTTTCTCCTGTGCTCGGAGCCTCTGGTCTCAGTGAGTTAATAAAGGTACTTGGCAACTGTATAAGGTTCCACAACTGCCACTACCTCTGGATCTCACGGGAGGCTGCCTCGCTGAATGCTAAACTTTTTGGTAGAATCTCTCAGGATTACACACCAGGTCAGGGAGGGACTACTATTTTTCCACCTTTCTTCTTAACAATATACTAGGGCAACAAAGAGAAAATAAGCGATGGCTG